CGCCCCCTCAACCCCCCCGGAGCTTTGCGGAGAGGGTCTTTCGGACTGGAGGGGAGGGGGTCCCCCGCCGCCCTCGCCTTCTTGTTATTCATTTGAGGCAGTGTATTTTATTTATCTTCACTTATTTGAATGTATAAGCCGCCCAGCTCCCGTGGGCTCCAGTGGACATCCTCCTCTTCCCCCCAACAACAACCCTGTGAGGTGGGCTGGGCGCAGAGAGAGGGAAGGAGCGGCTTTCGTGCCTGAGGCACGACTCGAACTCGCGTCTCTGGGTTTCCAGCCCGGCCCCTTCGCCGCTGCCCCAAACTGGCTGAGCACTAAATCCTGGTTGGCTTAGGGTTTATGGAATAAGCCCCCCATCCGAAGGAAACGGATGGCCTGCCTGTTAATTCCCATTTGGGTAGGAGGAGGCAGGAGCATCAAGTATGTTCCCTGCCTTGAGCTGACCAAATGTGTCTCAGGGAGGTCTCAGTTAGTGCGGTGAACAGATCCCACGAAAAGGTGGCCTGATTCAAATCCCCGCTCTTCAAAGTGGTATTTCTATGGAAAATAGGGCAATGGGTCCCAGCTCGGCGGAAATAGGCAAGGAAAAAGGTTAAACATAAATGCTTATATGCATGTTAATGAAATACTACAGGAAAGGATCAGAAGAATATACGTATAATTTAAATTTATGGCTCACGAAGTCACAGAGTAGTTATACAAAGCAAAATGGAACTTCTACACGTCATTCCTGAAGTTAAGCTTACACTGACAAAAGCATCTTTTTTTAAACTTGTACTGTTTGGCAGAATCTATCTTTTCTTTGTTTTGCACACATGAAGTTTAGCAGCGTCTAAAACCCAGCTGCGACTACTCATGTGCTAGCCTCACATTCACTAAATCTTGGGTTGCATTAAACGTGACCTGGCATCAATTTACAATTGGCACTAAATTGAGCATTGCATTATTCGAACACACGCTAATCAGGACCTACCTGTATACAGTATATAAAACGGCGGGATAAAATAATAATTGTTCTGGGTGTGGATTCTTTGTGTGTTTGTGCTACCTGGGGGTGTGCCTGTTTCCCTTGATGCTTCCCAAAGTTGTCTGGGTGGTGGGTTCATCCCCGCGCATGACAAAGTGTACCCTGGTTGTGTTGGATCGCCCCTCTGAGGTGGGCTGGGCTGAGAGGGACCAGCTCTGAGTCCCCCAGCTGGCTTTCATATCCAAGGCAGGATTCGAACTCAAGTTTTCCAGTTCTGGAGTTGGCCTGGTCTTTTCCTGGCTTTACCATCTGTCTTGGAAGCATCCCCGTTGATGATCAGAAATTTGTTATGCTCGTTAACATTGACATTTTAAATCATAATTATCTCTTTTTTAAAAATCTTCAGTGGTCTAGTGCAGCGGTTCTAATGAGAGCAGGGCGCTAATCTCGCTTTTTGGGTTCTCTCTGCCATCTATCTTTCCAGCTGAATAGATGCTTTTTCGTAACTGATTTTTTAATAGCACGTGGTAGACTGAATAAATGCAGATCAACTAGTATAACCCAGACAAGATGGAATTGTTGGTGGGTCAGACATCTTTGAATTATTTGGCGCATTCTATGTGGCTTTCACGCCTTGTCTCTCCCTTTATTCCTTTACTCTTTGAAAACCAGGTTTGCAAATTGATTATGCTCCCTGGCATTGCTGCTTGATGCCAAGGTACAATCAATGGTTGGGAGGTTTTCTGTCCTCTTCCAAATAGAAAAAATCAGATTGCTTTCTATGATTATTAAGGAAGTACAGGTAGTCTTTGCTTAAAGACCACAGTAGGAACTGGAAAATTTGTTGTTGAGCAGGGCGGTTGTTAAGTGAGTAGCATCCGATTTTACGGCCTTTTTTGCAGTGGTCATTAAGCGAATCACCACGGCCGTTAAGTGAATCACATGGTTCCCCATTGATTTTGTTTGCTGGAAGCCAGCTGGGAAATTGCAAATGGTGATCATGTGACTCCGGGACACTGTAACCATCATAAATACAGGCTGGTTGCCAAGTGCCCAGATCTCAATCGTGTGACTGCAGAAGTGCTGCAACAGTTGTAAGTGTGAGGATTGGTTGTAAGTCCCTTTGTTCAGCACCATTAACTCCAAATGGTCACTAAATGAATGGTCGTTAAGTGAGGACTATCTGTACAGTTGGGTCAGAACAAAGTTGGGCAGCTAGGGCCAACTACCCATTGTTTTCATTTCCTAAAAAAGCTTTTTGGACTCAGAGGCATTAGTAAATAAATATGGAAATAAATATGGAAATAAATAAATATGGTGCTCGAAGGAGATTGTTACTTTGCTCTGAAAACAGTTTGGTAAGACTGCACAGAGAGAAACAAGCCTGTGGGCTTTTAAAAAATCCTTTAAGTAACGCATGCCTTTTATTCTAAGGAGCAGCAGAGAACTGTGGACCATTGTTTTGGGAAGATCAGCTTTGAGGGAACCGGTAAGTAGGCTATTTTCTTTGAAACCTCAGTAGCCTGGTTTTGTGTGGCATTTTATCATCCTTAAAATGTTGATACTGATCTCTTCCTGTGTCTTCTTTGGGCATTCTTGGTAGCTACTGAATGATTAGCTGGAATGGGCAGGACTCTGTGATGTGGGGTAAATCATTCTGCTTCCTTCCCACTCTCTTTAAAAGAATCTTTGTTCTGCTTGTGATTAGAAACCGACCCTGTCCACCTTCTCCTTTCCCTTTCCTCTGCAGGCCAAGCAAAAAAGTTGCTCCTTTCTTAACCTGTAAATTGTACAGTACTGCTCCTTGGTTACTTCTGTCCTGCTTTGCAAAACTAAGCAAATATTTTGAAATTTGCAGCCTAGGGATATCTCTCTATCTACCATCCTTTTGTTCTGATTTAGGCCCAGATTGCAGAAGAGTTGAATAAACACTGGCAGAGGCTGCTGGAAGGACTTTGTTACTACAAGCCACCTAGGTACAGTAACCAGATGCTGGGTATCCCATGCAGTGCTTAAAGTAGGGAAAGCTTAGGGAATCAGTGGGCTTTTCTTGTCATAAATGGCAGAAGTGTCCTTTCTCCTTTTCAGAAATTCATCTAGACTGAAATTTTAGCAACATTCACAACATTGACATGGACTAATTTTATATTTATTCACACATCCTAATTATCATATACCTTAATACAGTGTTCAAGAGATAATATATCATGAAATACCTTGCTAGAAAGGAAATACTGGAGAATTAGCGCTTTTGTCCTCGGCTTATGGAGTGGTAACAATGTCTGGCTGTAACTGAAAATTGGATTCTAATTGTGAAGTTTCTCTTAATAAAAGAGGAATTGTATATGTGTCAGAACAAGATGAACTTTGTTCCAAGCAAATTAAATAAAACAATTATTTCTTATTTGTAGTTCAAATTCAGCAGAAATAGTGAAAGCTGATAAAAATGTGCCTGCTTCATTGAAGGAACTGGGCCTCAGAGTCAGCAAGTTTTTGGTAAGAAATAGTTACAAGTCGCTTTGCTTCTTGCTCTGCGTGTGTCAGGATGAGGGTGGGAGAAAGTATCAGAATTGGGGAGAAGCTGGTTTTCCCCAGCCTTATTCTTCAAGCGAGGTTTGTGACGTTTGAAGTTTAATTGGGATACTTTGCAGAACTCGGAAATGGCACTGTTCTGTTCTCCCTTGTCCTTTCCCCCTCACCGAAAAAGCATGTAACGTAGCCAAATGTGTCTCTGCCACTCCAGGGTTTGGATGAAGATCAAAGTGTGCAGCTCTTACAGTGTTATCTTCAAGAGGATTATAGAGGGACTAGAGATTCATTAAAGGTGGGTAACAGCACCCAGTCTGTCTTTTCCAGAAGTTCTGTTGACAAGCATGGTTGCGCATGGACTTGATATGTTGAGTTCTCACTGTGATGTCACAAGCGTGCCTTTCCACTCGGGGGTAAGGCCTGCCCCAGAAGTGCTAGCCATAAGTACAAATACTAATATTCGTGGGCAGAACAAAGATAGGAAGGAAGGAGAAACTGAACAAGCGATGGTGGCTAGGAAGAAGATGGCAGGCATGCAAACTCCCTTGTTTGAGAAATGGGAGTGCATTTTCAACCTGATTACGGTCCTGTTGCAAGTTAAAAATGTATAAATAGGGTCCATTTGGATTCTGATATCCTGTGAAGTTTATCAGTTTGTGTACTTCTAGAATTCCATTCCTACGAGTTTGGCAGTGAGTCATATTCGTTTTTAAGATGGGATTTTGAAGTGGGAGAAATCACAGGATTTTACATTAATCTTGACCCCTGTAGCATAATGGGGTGGAGTTGGTGTCTGCGACTGCTTTGCTGTGGATACAAGCTGATTGGTGGATCTGATAAATAGAGGAACAGCCTCTAATTCATGCCACAGTGTTGCTGAAACTTGATTTGACTTTGATTTGATTGAAATGTCATTCTGCCTCTTGGATATCAGCCCTGTAGGGCATTTCCTGGAGCTCTTCATCAGTACATTTTTTTGACCTGAAAAGGCTTAAATAAAGGTATACATGCTGTGCATTCCTTGATGATCATAGCTAAAATTTAGACAGGAGCATACCTTTCTACCTTGTATATGTCTCTGTTCAGGCCACACTGATTTCAGATTGATTTCTTGCATTCCTTTTTGTTTCTAGACTGTGCTGCAAGATGAGAGGCAGAGCCAAACTCTGTTACTGAAGGTGAGTCTCCTGTACATCATGCCGTGAGCCCTGCTCCCATCTCCACTGCTTCTGTATCAAGTCTTTTATTAAGGGTGTTGCGGGGTGGGGGTGGGGAGTTGACTCCTTGCAGCAGAAGAGACTGGAAAAGGGTGGTTGTATGTATTCTTTGTATGGTGGCAGTCTCCTTTAGCAACCTTTGGGGCTTCCCCTCAGCTACTCTGCTTCAGATCAGTGGGTTCATGCTTCAGATAGCAGCAGCAAACCAGTGAGCCTCTCCAGACAGTTGAAGATCCTTCCCTGTAGGTTGGGTCCCCTATAGCTACCATTGCCCCAGTTGGTAAACAGTTGGGGACTTGTGGAGGAGGCGGCAACATCTGGAACATGCCTCTCTGATCATTACCAGTGCTGTCATGTGGTGGTTTTATCGTGGAATGACTTACAGCCTGGGAAAATTTCAAATGGATCTAGAAAAGGGGTTGCAGTGCACCATTTCTATCCCCTTGGCTTTGTAATTGTGCTGGAACAGTAGCTTTTGTCAATCTAAGATGTGACTGCCTGATTCGGTGCAAATTCACGTCATACCAGCTTATGATTCTCTTGCTGCTTAATTGCATTAGCGTGACTTACTCATATTGACGTCTCACCATAGTTGTCAGGATCTACGCAAACCAGATTCTTCAATTGTTTTAATATGCTTTAATTACTAATTATACTTTTGCTTTAATTGCTAATCATAGATCAATAGTGTAATGCTGGGAATGTTATTCTAAGCAAAAGTATAATTAGTAATTAAAGCATATTAAAACAATTGAAGAATCTGGTTTGCGTAGATCCTGACATCTATGGTGAGACGTCAATATGAGTAAGTCACGCTAATGCAATTAAGCAGCAAGAGAATCATAAGCTGGTATGACGTGAATCTGCACCGAATCAGGCAGTCATAGTTGTCAGGATCTACGCAAACCAGATTCTTCAATTGTTTTAATATGCTTTAATTACTAATTATACTTTTGAACCCTAGAAGGGGGGGAAGTTGGGCTTAAAAAGACAAGGCTTTGCTATGTTAGGCAGACTCAACAAACTATGGTGCTGTACGCTTCTCCTGAATAAAGAAATCTGTGATGGAACTCTTTGGACTCCAGAGGATTTACTGAACTTTGGGATTGAGTGTGCAGACTCTGACAATAGTTAAGCTTCGCCATGTTTTGATGTGATACCTGTATGTGATACCTACCTGCATTCGTCCCATGGTCGATTGTGGGATCTTGCAGTTGGCTCCTGGTTTGTCCTGAGTGACTTTTTGTAATTATTTTTGGACAATATTTTTATCCCACTTTTCCATTAAAAAATTTCACAGAAAGCCAACAACAACAAAATATGTTGTTTATTGTTCACAAAGAACAATAAACAACAACATATGGAAATAAAAAGTAATATTAGGATGAATGACAGTGAGAAACACTGTTTACAAATAACATGCCAGGGGGGTGAAAAATCAAAGCATTTGGCAAGTGAAATACTTGTTAATCAAAAGTCCATGGAGATGGGAACCTGGGAAGGCAGCGAGCAGTGGGGAAGTGGATCTGAAAATGCAAAGACAGTTGCCATGATAAAGAAAACAATATGTCTTCACAGATTGCTGATTACTACTATGAGGAACGGTTTTGTATTCTTCGGTGTGTTCTCCACATCCTCACCTATTTCCAGGATGAGAGGCACCCTTACATGGTATGTGTTGACTTCCTTTCTTGGTTCTTCCATAAGCATACACTGAATGCAATTAAAGACAGGTAGTCCTCATTTAGCGACTGCCTTGTTTAGTGACTGCAATTAAGACAGTGATGAAAAAGTAACTTTACAACCAATCCTTGCATTTATGACCTTCGCAGGTCTGTAAAGCCAAGGAAAGCTGAAGTCAGATCGTAAGCACCGTCACAGTTTCACTTAGCAACCACTTCGCTTAACGACTGAGTTGCTGGTCCCAATTGTGGTCGCTAAACGAGGACTGCTGGTAAAAGTCTATAATCTGAACCACCAGAGTTGTTGGCATTCCCAGAAACATACAGGAATCTTCAAAAGGGATGAAATTACAATATTTTAAGAGAACATAAAGAGGATTTGTCCTGGTCCACCTCAGAGTCACTGGAGGTCAGGCAACATATAAATTTAATAAATAATAATCTTGGAATTGTGATGTTTGCCCAGAAATGTTGCATGTCTCTGATTTGAAGGTCAGATTTCCATAGTCTCACCTTACTTACAGTCAGCCATTCTACAGCCAGAGAAAGATATTTTTCTTTCCCCAGTTTCCCCTGTTTTCACCTTAATCCTATTTTTTTTTAATCTCTTGGGTAATGCTCTGTCATTTTTTGTAATATTTGGTATTTTATAAGTATATTTTAATCATTTTGATATTCTGTTATAATAAATCACTGAGAACACTGTTGAAAGGTGACATACAAGCACCAAATATATGAAACAGTCTGTAATTTTATGAAACTGGTTTTGCTATGAAGGTCCCGTATTCGCAGTGTATGGAAAAATTGGATAAGGAACTGGTTCCTAATTACCGGAAACAGTTTGAAGAGCTGTATAAAGCAGAAGCGCCTACGTGGGAGACACATGGAAGTCTAATGGTATTTTTTTTCAGTGATACCTTCCTTTTATAATTTGTGCAGTGCATTTCTAGTTTTACAGTGAAAAATATATGGGTTGTAGCAGGATCACGTTTTTATTTCTGTTGAATAAAACTTACTGTCCAAATTAGTGTGCTGCATTGTCTGTTTAAGAAAGCTCAAAGATGGGATATAAATGTGAAATAATACATTATTTGCAATACCCCTTTTTTAAAAAATCTGGGAGAAATCAGGAGTTTCCCCCCCTCCATTTCTTTATCTATCAGTAGGTGTAGCTATCATTTAAATGCTCAAAAGGAGATGCAGTATTGTTTAATGTCCCATCAGACCCTTTGTCTGAAATCCTCTGTGCATCTACCTGTGGGCAAACCTTTTGGAATACTAGGGGCAGAGTTATTCTTGCACGGCAAAACACACTATCATTTTATCCCTGAAGAACTTTAGCAAGCTAGTGTGCCAAGTTAGGTGTGCCTAACTCAGCCCATTAAAAGAGATGAATGTAAGTGTGCTTAACATTGCGGTCCTCTGCTCTTTCCACCAAGGCTCAAGTCTCTTCCAATGATGCCTCTCCTTTTCTCCTGGGTCACTGATGCATGTAACAGCCTGAGGCTTCTGCTTTTTACACAGACGGAGCGGCAAGTCTCCCGCTGGTTCGTGCAGTGCCTCCGTGAACAATCAATGTTGCTGGAAATCATCTTCCTTTACTACGCCTATTTTGAGATGACCCCTGAGGAACTGCTGACTTTTGCCAAGATGTTCAAAGAGCAGGGGTTTGGTTCTCGGCAGACCAACAGGCACCTGGTTGACGAAAGTATGGATCACCTGGTTGATCGGATTGGGTGAGTGCCATGCGCTTGGCCGTGTCAACTGTTACATACCACAGATCCTGCTGGATGAATTGGTTCACAAGAGCTGATTCACGTATTGTTTGGGTGCATGAAAAAAGTACAACTACAGGTAGTCCTCGCTTAACAACCACAGTTGGGACTGGCAACTCCATTGCTAAGTGACTGCGATGGACTTATAACCTCACTTCCACTGCGGTCATTAAGCGAATCACTTGCGGTCATTAAGCAAGACATTGTGTGACTGCGATTTGCAACCTCCTGCCAGTTTTTCCGTTGACTCTACTTGTCAGAAGCCGGTTGTGAAGCACACAAATGGTGACCATGTAACCCCAGGATGCTGTGATGGTTATAAACACCCGTCAGTTGCAAAGCAGCTGAATCTGGATCACATGACTTTGGGGACACTGCACTGGTTGTAAGGGTGGGAGTAAAGTTACTTTTTCAGTGCTGTTGTAATTTTGAATGGTTGCTAAACAGGGCAGTCATTACGCAATGACTACCTGTATACATTTGTGAGAATCTCGAGTTGACCGTGACTTCTAATTATACTGAATCTGTTTCAGAATGTTAATCCGCTGATGTCTGTTGTAACAGAGAAACAGGCTCTTAGAAAGAGATCCTTTTCCATTCTGCTTCCTTTTCCATCTGCAAATATCAGAATTAAACCTGAGATTTACTTACTTAAACCTCAGAATTTAGTAAACAATTATATCTGTTTTCCCCAAAATTTGTTGATTACAGGCTTGCCTCCCTTCATAGCATAATGTCACAACTGTTTTTTTCTTCACTAAGTGACTACATACATCAATTGTGCAGCCCTTGATAGAGAAAAATTCTCTCCAGTTAGTGAATTATGTTCTGTTTGTGGGTCACAAATTATAGCATTCTTAGGACTTAAACTCTTCAGTTTCTTTGTATTTAAAAACAAGAACCAAGCAAGCATTTGTCTGAGGGGGGAAATTTTCATTCAGTTCTGATATTTTTGTGTTTTGTGTTTCTCCCGCAAACATACTTTACAGGTATTTCAGTGCTTTAATTCTAGTGGAAGGCACAGAAATCGATTCTTTGCACGAACGCTTGTTGGACGACAGGAAAGAGGAACATAAATTTGCTGGCAATGGTCAGGTCCGCCAGGTAAATCTCTAGCAAATCTGTGGTCACTCCGTATTTATTTTTACCACTCCAGGCAGAAACTTTCAAGAAAACATTAGTAGCAAAAATAAATCAACCTGTTTCCTGATTATTAAAGCAGAATTCCTGGAAAGATTATTATTATTACTATTATATTATACAGTATAACTCAAGGCGGTGAACATACCTAATGCTTCTGCCTCCTATTTTCCTTACAACAACCCAGTGAGGTGGGGCTGGGCTGAGAAAGAGTGACTGGCCCAAAGTCACCCAGCGGTCTTTCATGCCTACGGGAGGCCTAGAACTCACGGTCTCCTGGTTTCTAGGCCAGCACCTTCACCACTACACCAAACTGGCTCTGGGCAGTGTGATGGTTTTATTACAGTGTTCAATTTTGTCCTTGTTAGATGAAATCAACAGCTGAGGTCTTTACAGAGGAATGGAATTTTCTTGGATTTCCAGAGGCATTTCTCACAGTGGAGAGCAGAGCAGATGATACCTCATGGTGTCTGTGAATGGTCTTGCTAGTCCAGGGCCCTAGTTCTTGAGGTTCCTCCTCAGCATCAGGCAATTAATGGAGCCGGTCTGAGAGTTAGCCATCTTCCACCCCTGCTCCAGCTTGCAGTAGCTAATCCTTGTTATGACCCCACGGTTAGATTCAGAGATGTCTGTCCACAGACAAATGTTATGTAGCTGTCAAGCCCTCCTTAGCTGGGGAAGGTGTAGAAATACACAGATTTTAGGAAGCTTTCTTTAATGCCAGCCTGGCTGTAAATGCAGAATCTTGGAAACTGGAAGAGGCCTTTCCCATCCTCATTTATAGTGAGTTAATTAAGGCGGAATCTCCTTGATTAGAAATGCTTCTTCCCAGCTTCCCAGCCGAGTTGCCGTTTATAATCTAAGCTACCAACAGGTTCATCTTCTATCTCTTGATTGTTTATGTGTATTCTTTTTCCCTTCCCTTTCTCATTATAAACACTTAAAATCCAGATTAAGAAATGGTGGGAGAGGATGCTTGAATGTTTAACATGTCATCCATTTATTCCAAACAGGAAATGGATCGCCTGCTGCTAACTCTTGGGGATGTTCCCCATCATGCCCCTATCCTCTTGGCCTGGGCCTTACTCCGCCACACGTTGAGCACTGATGGGTCAACCAGTGTGATCAGGCGAATGGGAAGCACTGCAATTCAGATGAACGTGTTTCAGTATTTGACGAAGCTGCTCCAGGCCATAAGTAGTGAAGGAAATGTGAGTCTTGACTGTGCTTGGCTGAACAGTTTCTTCAGCCCAGGAGAAATGTCTTTCATAATATTTAATAGCTCAAGGGTTGAGAGGCCCCCAGTCCCCATTTTTTACCCTGGAGTTCTCTCCAGATCACACCACCACAATTTCACATTTTCTCACACAAGGAAAAGAAATGCATTAAGCATTTGCTAGGTTTAGTCCATTGATTTTCTAATGAAGAAAAGAAATGTAATGCTTGTAAATGTATATGTCTGTAACTAAACACATTACAAATCCAGAATAAAAACAATGAGGTAGTCCTCATTTAGAGACCACAACTGAGACCGGCAACTTGGTTGTTAAGTGAAGTAGTTGTTAAGTGAAACCATGACTGTGTTTATGATCTTACTTCAGCTTTGCTTTACTGTCCAGCAAAGAGTGTAAATGTGAGGATTGGTCACAAAGTTACTTTTTCATCCCCGTCGTAACTACGAACAGTCGCTAAATGAGGACTACCTGTAATACTCTGCTATCCTGTAGTCAGTTTGTAAAATCACAATGTAAAGTAGGAAACCTTTAGGCTAAAAGTCCCGTAATATATAACGTATAGAGATCTCTTTCCTACGTACACACGTAAAATTGTACATATATAATAGTTGTTGAATCCATGCCAGTTCTTGCTGGAGGATGATATATCTCTGTTGATGGAGAGAAGTACAAAGGCTGATTTTTGTGAATAGGCCTTGTCTCTCCTTATCAGTGTCATTTTTATTTCAGTTCTGAGTGTGCCTGTGCTCCACTGAATTTAGGAAACTTATTACCACAGTTTACAACTGCCACGCCTCCCCTAAACAAGTAAAACAGTGTTAACACATAGGGCCTCGGCAGCAAAACTCTGTCTACTCAGGAACAAATGCACAAGCGGTTATACAATTCTTCTTGTGCTAAATATTTAAAGAGAGAAGGGGAAGTTTCATTTGGATTAGTCTGCCTGAAAGAGTATGTTTCCAATAGTGAATATCAGCTGCAAGACGTCATCACTTGTGGTGTAATTAATCCTGTTTTGTGATGTCTTGATAATGAAGTGGTTAGCTTTGCTAGCCTATGATGACCTAGAAGTCATGCAAAACCCATCTTGCTGTTCTTGGATTTGCATTTTATATAGGGCTTTTTGGCCACTTTATATTCAGGATGATAAAAATACAAAGCTGGCTGTCCTCTTCCTTTTCCTCTCGCAGGCTGGGCTTGCTACCCTAGAATGGGTAGCGATCACAACCCGCAGTTAGGTCAGGTTATTTCCATTGCTCAGGCTGTGAAATTCTCTTGGTTTGCAGTGTATTTCCAGCACCGCCTGCATGTGCATTTACGGCCTACTCTCCTTTGCCCTGACTTCTCTGGAGCTGCACACGCTGGGCAATCAGCAGGTAAGAGTCAAGGGCTTAAGATCTTCAGCCCCAAAGGGCAGCATTCCTATCTTTTTAAAACCGTGGCCACTTTCTTGTAAAGCCACCTGGCATTTCTTCCAGCAACCAGTTCTGTTAATTAGCTCTGGGTCAGGCAAAGTTTTTTCTTGCTCTTCTGAATCTATTTCCCATTCATTTCAGCCATTTCAGCATACTAGAGAGAAGGACGGCGTTCTACCCACTTCCTTCAGGCTATTCATATTTTCATAAATTAGGCTTCCCCTTCTTCTGTTTTAGCCGTGAGTGTTTTAAGCCAGTTTTTGCAGAGAACATGGATTCCATTTGATCTTTACATCTTTTTTGGGAGCGGCTTGTGAATTTGCTTAGTATTTCTCTCTCATTCTGTTTTCTGTGTTGACCGGTTTTTCAACTAAAGTAGAGTTCGTTTCTGAGCATAAGCGTTATAGAAATATAATGTGTAATAAAATGCATTGTAAATGCAGTCGCTCCTTGAAACATGGAGTACCTTTAGAAATCTGTCACAGTTTGAAATCAAATTTGGCCCTGGCTTTTCTACACAGAACTGTAGTTATATTAATGCAAAGTATTCTGTATCCATTAATTATAGTTTCTTATGAAATGAGTTTAAATCTTTTTAGGGTTTTCATGTCAAGGGGGCCAGATACAATGTGACATATGAGTTTTTCTCTCCCTCCCTCCTCCCCCCCCCCCCTTATTTTCTAAAGGACATAATTGATACAGCATGTGAAGTTTTGGCAGCTTCAAGCATTCCTCCACTGTTCTGGAAAACTGTGAGTTTGCTCTGGAAGTGACATTTCACCCGTGTTTCCTTTGATTGTCTTCTTTTTAAAGATCATCATATTCAGGATGATAAAAATACAAAGCTGGCTGTCCTCTTCCTTTTCCTCTCGCAGGCTGGGCTTGCTACCCTAGAATGGGTAGCGATCACAACCTGCAGTTAGGTCAGGTTATTTCCATTGCTCAGGCTGTGAAATTCTCTTGGTTTGCCTTTTGACCTTGGAAAATCCCAGTTGCTCTTCTAAAAGGCTTTCCATGTTTTTTCACTCTTACCCTGACATTTTTGTCAAAATATATTGAGCTACGTGCAAATTGATAGACACACAAGTAAATAAATCCATGAGTGATTTGTCAAACTGTATTGAGCCATGTGCAAATTGATAGACACACAAGTAAATCCAGTAAATGTGGTATTTGGTCCTCTTCGTTCCTATTTTTATCCCCTCAGTTAAACCTTTGTCATTAAAGGGTGCTTCCAAATCTGCAGGGTTTCAGATGTGCACCTCTGTTGGAAACAAATCCATTTTCTATACCAGCCGTTCTCAGCTGTGATTCCATGAGGGAATGTGATTGAAAAAAATATTTTTTTTAACTTTGCACACTGCACAATGCTGATGTTTGCAGTTGTGGGAATTTGTACTTACCGTGACTCAACTGCTGGCCTGCTGCTTTGCTGCTGTTTTAAATGTTGTAAAACATGGATTGTAAAAGAAGTGAATGAGTTTTTGTATTTTTTGCCATTTTTGTGCAGGGGTTCTCTGAGGCCTGAAAATGATTTAAAAGGTTCCTCCAGGGTAAAAAGGTTGAGAAAGGTTGTTTTTTAGCATGGGAAACTTTGGGTGAAATGGGGGGCAAAAATCTCCCACCATAATAAACACTATCATATCCATTTCCCCATTTTGTACTTTTTCTAAATGAAAAAATGAAAAAATAAGAAAATACATGAAAATACACATGCAAGCATGTAAGGTTTTGTTTTTCTACTTGTATGCTTGCTTAAGGAAAAATTCATCCTCAAAGGTTAATATCATCTGTGACACTTAAAAAAAAAAAGAATTACTCTTGTACTAGAATAATGTGGAAAAAATAGGAGCCTGGTAGCACCTTTTCCAATTAACAAGTTATTAAAGGGCATGAGCTGTTGTGAGTTGTAGCTCACTTCATCAGATGCGGTGGAGTGACTGGACTGGCATAGGTTTTGAACTGGGATGAGGTGGGATGCAAGGGAGGGGAAAACAGGGCGGTGATGCAGAAGCAGATTACATTTGAGACAGATTACAAATATCTTCTCAGTTAGCAGTTGTGATGTGTTAATAATATATTGTGCTTATTGAGACTTTCAGAGGCAGCTGGAAGCCTTTTGATGTATGTGAGTCCAGCAATCTCTTGCTTGGTTGTGCTGGTAAAATTTCGTTCTTTTTTTTTTCAAAGATGGTTAATTTAATGTCTGCAACAGAACGTCTTGGGAGATTGAAATGCTCTGAGCATTGCTGTCAGATGATGGCTTAGGCACATCTCTCACATCACTCACAAAAGCTTATACCTTGTTATGTTATTTTGTTAGTGTGAAAGGGGGCTACCAGACTCCCCCTGATTTTGGCTATCCTAGACTAACACAGCTCTCTTCGTGTTGTATGCAGAATGATCTTTCTTGCAGGAGAATCTATATGCAGCAAAGCTAGTGTGAAATTGTGTTGCCCTAAGTCAGAGTCTCTTTTTGATAACTTCTGTTTTCTGTATCTCTTCCCAGGAACCGACAGCAGGTCTGGGCATTATTTTGGATAGCGTATGTGGCATGTTTCCACACCTCCTCTCCCCTCTTCTTCAGTTACTCACTGCGCTCGTTTCAGACAAGTCTACGGCAAAAAAGGTTCGTAGGGGACTCAGAGGGAGAGAAATCAATATGTTGCTATCAGGGGGTACTTTAGGACTTTGAGAAGACCTTTTTAAGTCTCTGCCACTCAGAAATTCGGGCTAGGGTGAGTCCTTGCATTCACAGAATTTGAGATCCCTCGGTGATAGTGGTGGAAGGAGTCTGATTTAGAAACAAGCTTTACGTAGGTGTGTCAAGTTCATAGTAGGCCAGGTCAAGAAACAGACACAGCATGGATTCCAGGAATGCTCTTTATTGTACTAAAGTAGAATAACAGAATTTTGAAAGCCTGTCCAAGTCCCTCCCTGTCCCATCTTATACTAAACAAAATCAAGGAGGGGTTGTGTTGACTTTCTTTCTCACCCTTGCCCCATCTCACTGTGTAATATTTTTCTGCAAACCCCTCTTTAACAGCTCGCTCATGTCTTCCCCAAGTTCATCTCTTGGTTCCTTTCCACCTGCTTTTCTTTATCAGCCCATCTTCTCTCTCTCCCTCTCTTTAAAGGTTTACACCTTTCTGGACAAGATGTCGTTCTACATTGAGCTTTATAAGCACAAACCAGCAGATGTAATCTCTCACGAAGATGGGACCCTGTGGAGGAGGCAGACACCCAAATTGCTCTATCCCCTCGGTAAGAGATGGGTTGGGACCCTCTGCCCTTCCCTCAAACACATGTGTTTACTTCACTGCCTGGCCAAATGAGGGCTTCCGAAACTAACCAACTGGACATCTGTTGTCTTGCCAACAGATTGCAGGGTCTTGCTAAGGACCAGTTCTGTTGAGATATTCTATATATCTAAAAAGTCTGGTTTTATTTTGCTTTTTTTCTTTTCAGGGATGGGACAAACCAACCTTAGGATCCCTCAGGGAACGATTGGTCAGGTGATGCTGGACGACCGGGCTTATTTGGTACGATGGGAGTATTCCTATAGCAGTTGGACGCTCTTCACGTGTGAGATTGAGATGCTGTTGCATGTGGTGTCCACGGCTGGTGAGTCTCCAGAAATCTGGGGAGCTGATGAGAGGGGGCTATTAATGGGCTTTGGGATTCTAGAGCTGGAGACTAGCACGTTTGGGTGGAAGATAAAAGACCAAAAATGAGTGACCATTACAACACAGGGATGGAAAGAGACGTACAAATTGAGCCTTATGAGCTCTATGTAGGACTTGAACCCTGGACTTTGTAGTGGCTGGTTGTCTTTCCTGTTAAGGACTTTTGTAGCATCTACAATAGAAGTATCTGATCAGAACGAGGTCCTTGACTCTTTAGCTGCAAACCTTCCAATTTATGTATCAGACTGGGCAAAGCCTGACCAAGTGGCCAGAGAATCAGTTGCTATTTTGCTTTACCTCCACATTTTTCTTTTCTTTCTTTTTTTTTTTGGCACCATGTAAAATCATTATATATTTTCAAAAACAGAAGAAGCTTTAATAATTTCCAGATTAGCAAATTGAGTATAGCCTACATTTTCATTTGTCCCATGTCATTTGCTTCACCTGTACTTTATAAATATTTCTATACTTTATAAATATTTCTGTTTATAAAATACAGGTAGTCATTGCTATTTTGATCACAATAGGGATCAGAACTTAGGTCGCTAAGCGATTTGGTTTTTAAGCAAATCGGAGCTGATTTTATTACCTTTTTTACGACGGTTGTTAAGCGAATCACTGCGGTCATCAAGGGAAATGCATGGTCATTAAGTGAATCATATGATCTTTAAGTGAATCATGTCATTAAGTGTATTCAGCTTCCCCAATGGACTTTTTTTGCCAGAATTCACTTAACAACCACAATTTGCTTAATGACCATGCATTTCCCTTAACAACTGCAGTGATTCGCTTAACGACAGTTGTAAAAAAGGTAGCAAATCGCGAACACATGACCATGGGGGTTGTAAAGCACTTTTCCCAAGGCTGTCATAAGTCTGGACTGTTGTTAAACGAATGATCATTAAAGGAAGATTGTTAAGCGAGGACTACCTGTATGATGTGTTTGTTTAATAGAAATATTATTTTAAAATTTAAAAGCACTGTCAGGATATGGATGGTCCTTTTTTTACTTCTTTCTTTTGGGTTTTGCATTTTGCTTTTAAGGGGCCTGGTTTTATTGCAGAAAAGAGCTGTTTCTACCTTGAACTCCTGTCTTTCCCAGATGTCATCCAGCATTGTCAGAGGGTTAAGCCCATCATTGATCTAGTTCACAAAGTCATCAGCACCGATGTGTCGATCGCAGATTGCCTTCTGCCAATTACATCGCGGATCTACATGCTGCTGCAAAGGTAAGACCTTGGGAATTTTGCCTTCTGATGGGCGCCTGTGACTGTATCTGAGGTTCTGTTTGGGCTAGACTGTTTTGCCTTTAGCTGTTTTGCTCTGAGATCAAGGTTTTTTTTCCAGGTTAACTACTGTGATTTCTCCCCCGGTTGATATTATTGCCTCTTGTGTCAAATGCTTAACGGTGCTGGCTGCCCGGATGCCTGCCAAGGTAAGGGGGCTGTCGATAATTTCAGTTCTGTTGGTGCCACTTGGCTGATGCAAAGATATAAATGTGCATTTCTGACCTTTCTTCTCAGGTCTGGACTGACCTTCATCATACTGGCTTTTTACCATTTGTGGCAAATCCGGTTTCTAATATGGGTCACATGATCAGGTATCATTCTGGTGCATTTTGGCAAAACAGCTATTTTTGTATTCACGTTTATTGGCTTCCTGTACAGTTCCCCCATCAGGGGCTTTCAAGTCTCTTCAGCATGCCTTTGGGAAGGCTGTTTTATAGGTTTGTCCCCACACCATCCCTTTCTTCCTGTGTGCAAAATGGAGAGGAACAGTTTTTGGTTTGATAAAGTTTCTTACTCTGTGCTCAAATTCTGCAATTAAAGTCGTGGTGTACACATCTTTGGGTGCCTTGATACATCCTGGTATCTTCCATCATTAGCCATGCTGGCTGTGGACAGGAGTTAGGTTCATTATAATTTGAAGGAGCGTCTGTATTGCTTGTCCTTGAACTAAAAGGTCATAGATAGTAGGACAGAGAGACTTCCTTGGATTCTGGGGGTCTGATATTCACTGGATTGAATAATAGCATTAGAGAGCACTTTATTCCAAGATGGTCAGTGTTTATTCCCCAACTTTTCAGCCTTCCACATTTTCATGCCTGGAGGTAAAATCCATAGTCATGGAGAGGACATGGGGTGGACTCTTTGGAAGTCTTTACCTGGACCTTTCGGTGTGGCACTACCCTAGTCTGAGCTGCAGCTGAACCCACAATGTCTTGATTGTGTATCCATCCGTTTTGTGTGTTTTTATGCCTTGGGCTGTGCTGTGCTCTTCCTAGTCCTCTCTTGTTTTTCAACTTGAAGGAGAAAATACAGTGTTAAGTTAGGAAAGTATATCACCCCCTTCCCCAAATACATTTACACTTTCCCAGAGATACTAAAGTGTCACTCAACTCAATGATAAAAACATTTAGAGGCCAGGGAATTTTAATAAAACCAGGAGAAATTACCAGGAGGTGAGAACCAAGGGCAGTTTAACAGTAACTCTCTAGAAAGAAACCAGTTGATGAAACACTTTGTTTTCTCAATTGTCCCCCTTGTCTTTGTAGTCCTGCCTTCATTACCGTGTAATGCCACCCTAATTACCTCACTAAACACCTGATGTGCTTGTGCTGCTATATCCAACTAACTACTTTGCTGCTGTATCCAGTTGCATGTATACTCTAATCTTGCCTTATCCTCTATAGAGGGGATGCATCCTTTTTTTTTTAGGTTAGCTTTGCTGCCTCCGGTACTGAAACAAACCATCTGTATTTCAGTGATGCTGGGTGCCGGTCTCTGGTTTTAAATGAACTTTTGGGGAGGTTTCTGAGAGTAATTCCTCCTGCAAACTCTTTCCTCTCTTTCTCCCCAGTGCAGAGGGAATGAATGCCGGAGGCTATGGGAACTTGCTGATGGGCATTGAGCAGCCCCAAGGCGAATATGGCGTGACAATCTCCTTCCTGAATTTAGTCATGACGCTAGTCCGGGTATGTGCTTTGAGGGGGAAGGCATGTGTTGCCTTTTTATGCCATGCTGCAAGAAATACTTGAGTTTTGGCCACTTACGTTTTGCCTGTGTTACTGGGGGATGGAGTTTCCTATTCACTGTTCTGGCTGTTTTCTTCAGGGGCAGCTTGGCAGCACCCAGAGCCACGGTCTGGTGCCATGCATCGTATTCGTCCTGAAGGAAATGCTGCCAAATTATCACAAGTGGCGCTATAACTCCCATGGAGTGAGAGAAAAAATTGGTAAGCAGGACTTCCCCAAAGGGATTGAAGTTTAGCCTCTGGTATTCCCTGGAGCCTTCCTTGGTCTTCATGGTTTTCCTCTGAGGGTCTCAAGTGTGGAAAGCTCTGAAGATGGGGGTCCAGGCCATCTAGGCGGACAGCTGAGCTGACTCTGTAGGAAGGTTCCCTCCCGTCAGGAATCGCCATGCTTTGGGGGCTAGTAAACCCATTTGGAATTTTGACAGTGTGTTGTGGGCACTCTCACAAAATGGCTCCTGGAAAATTGCCTATTCGTAACTTAGCCGTGGATCTCTAACTGTTATGAAAGTGAGCTAGGAAGCATTCCCATAGGAGCAAAACCTCACAATAAGCCGGCTTGTTAAATTCTGCCTCCCTTCTGAAAGTGGTGCACCTTTTCCCCTTTTTTCAGGATATCTTATCCTACAGCTGATCCATGCAATTTTGAATTTGTATCCTGAAATGGATCCTCATAGCAGGTATGGTCAGGTTGTTTGGCAACTCTGTGTCCTGGATGTGTTAGTTTTGGGTCTCATAATCCCTCAGCCACCGAGTCTGCACCTTTGTTCCTCCTGCCTCCCTGCCAAATAAATTCACATTCCATTCTCACCTTGATGCTGAACTTCTAGTCCTCATGGCCACAATAAAGCAAGCATCTCTGAATTCCTAATGTTAGATTGACGCTCATCCAGAAGTCTCTCCTGTAGAAAGTTGAGGTTTCTGTTCTTGCTTTTCAGCAGTGCCCCGAGCCTCCAGTCCCTTTGCATCTTCAGCCTGGCCAATACTGAAGCAGGCCAGGCGGTCATCAGCATCATGGGCATTGGGGTGGACACCATTGATATGGTGATGGCCAGCCAGTCCTGCAGGTAAGGGCAAGTTACCATGTTTAGCATCTAACATTTCCATCTGTGAGGGGAAAAAATCAGCTTGTTGCTTAGTTTCTGTGGGTTAATGAGAGCTGTTCACCTTGCTGGGACTAAGCCCTCCAGCAGGTTGAGTGGAGACTGAAAAACATCTGTAGAAGGAGACAGTAGAAAAGGCTCTCCGTTACTGACAGAAAGGGAGATAGGAGGCAGCGGAAACTCGGAAGCCAGAAGCCAGAAGAAACCAAGATTTGCTAGATCTACAGTGAGAATTGAGTCAGTTGTGGGCTGTGTTGCTAGAGTTCTCTGGGCCAGATTTGGAGGATCCAAATGTTTCATGACCATCCTAGGTGACATCAGTGTAGGAAAGGTGGCAAAGTGAGTTTCTTCTACACTGATGATGTTACCCAGTATGGGAACAGAACATTTGCAACACAAAATCCAATAAGTCCAGCAACATGCCAACCCCGGGCTACACATATTTTCTATTATTTGTGTTTCTGTAGGCGTTGTGACTTCATGTGTGTCTCTCTTTATGGGGGACATAGCACTGGTTTTCATGTTCTGGTGTAGTGAAGAGCAGAAATAGCATGGATTTTAATGTGGTTCTTCTTCCTGGCAACCCAGCGATGGTGAATCTCCAGGCCAGCTGCTGATCCAGACGGTGAAACTGGCATTCTCGGTCACCAATAACGTCATCCGGTTAAAGCCACCATCCAGTGTAGTGTCACCTCTGGAACATGCTCTGACTCAGCACGGTAAGTCCTCTCCTGCTGCCCTTTGAGGAATGGCATCGTTACCTTCTGCGCCAACCAGCCGCGCTTGACTCGCAGAACGTGCATTTCAGCTGACCGAGCGAATGCATTTAGATCCTGCCCGTCCTGGGCAGAAAACAGATTGCGTGTTGACTTGATAAACCCTTGATTTCTTTACGTGCGGATTTTAAACTGGGCTCTTCAACTCTCTGTGATTCTCTGCACTCTTGACCAGGGGCCCACCGGAACAACCTGATCGCTGTCTTGGCCAAGTACATCTACCACAAACACGACCCAGCCTTGCCCCGTCTAGCCATCCAGCTCCTGAAGCGGCTGGCGACCGTAAGGCTCGTCTTCTTCTGGGGACACCCTTCGTTGCTTTCCTCGAACCTCGCCCCACCAAGTTAGGGAGCAGGCTTTCCAGTGATTTCTAGGTTTTCCCCTGCCAAATTAAGTTGGGTGGGTGGTGGGGTGTCTCTTGGTAGAAACTTAAAATGCGTACCTCTGATTGCACTACTAGACTGCAAACCCCATCAAAGTGATGGTCAGAAAGACGCAGAGACCACTGGTTTCACGAGCCAAGAGGCTTAGATTCCACTAGAGTGGACCCCGTGACAAACTTTGTGGGGAAGTGTGCACTTCCCACAGTGGGGGGGGCGCATCGTACGCGGTGGCTCTGGCCTTCCTTCCCCATCTTTCCTCCATTTCCCCCTTAGGTGGCTCCAATGTCTGTCTACGCCTGTCTTGGCAGCGATGCCTCAGCCATCCGCGATGCCTTCCTGACCCGTCTGCAAAGCAAAATCGAGGACATGCGCATTAAAGTCATGATTCTCGATTTCCTCACGGTTGCAGTGGAAACCCAGCCGGGGCTCATCGAATTATTTCTTAATCTAGAAGTGAAAGATGGGAGCGATGGCTCCAAGGTAAAGGTCGATCCAGACCCTTCTTTTGAAAGACAGGAGCAGCTGTAAATGGTTAGCCCAGGGTTTTTCAAGCTGTGTTCTGCAGAACTTGAGGGGGTGGCGTAAGAGACCAAAACAAAATTTCATGCTATTGCAGCCAATTTTCTGTCGCTGGAGCTTTGCCCCTTGATCAGGCATTCTGAGACTTCCACAGCTTGAAAATCCTTGTGTTATTCCAGCAACCAGTTCTTGATAGAACCTTCCTAGCGCTTCATCTTGGAATAATTCCTCTGCCAGCTGTGTTGTGCATTCTTTCAGGGCTCTGTGAATGTGTGAAAAAACAAAGCGGGTGAATCAGACTTATTAAAAACTAGGGAGATTGCTGGAAACATCTTAATGGACTGTCTCTCTTAGTTGAGCACTTATGCTTACATGGAAAAGACAAAGGTACACTAAAATTACATGCCTGTCATCGTCTGTCACTGCAAATATTCCTTCCAAACATGGACGTTCCCTTTTCCTTCTCTGTTCCTAAACTGAAACCTGTGTGGTCAAGTGCTGGACTCTGCTGTCGCTTCAGTTTTTGTGGCCTAAATCCAGACCTTGATGTGTTCTCCCCCCACCCCTTCTCTTTTAGGAATTCAGCTTGGGGGAATGGAGCTGCCTCCACGTGGTCCTGGAGCTGATTGACTCCAAGCAACAGGAGCGGTACTGGTGCCCCCCCCTTCTGCAGCGAGCCACCATTGCTTTCCTCCACGCCCTGTGGCAGGACCGCCGAGACAGCGCCATGCTAGTTCTCCGGACCAAGTGAGTGAACAACCTGTGAAGAGGGCGGAAAAATAAGTTGCCGCATGTACAGGTTACTCCAGTTAATGGAGCCCCATTGACAAAGCAGGAGGAACTTGGGGGTGGGGGCAGGGGAATTCTGGCCTGTTGGCAAGTAGGAAGTTTTTGAAAGTCCCCAGAAGAAACTGGAAATGGTTTTTTTTTTTTTGGTCACCACTCTTTGTAAATGAATGGAGGCAGCCCTTCATTTCAGGCAATAGTGCCAATGCGTAATGAAAACCTTTTTAGGTTTTGTTTTGAGAAAAATGAGTTACTTTTACATAACGGCTGTTTTTGTTGTGAAACCATCCAGGGTTGTTGTTTGTTTTTTTGAGTGGGGCATGTAGTAATAGGGAACATTGGCTCCTATTCTTTTGCTTTTCTTAAAGCAGTGTTTTAAGCTTTGCTGGGGAATTCTGGGAGTTGAAGTCCACACATCTGTAAGTTGCCCAGGTTGAGAAACACTGTCTTAAAGGGTCTGTTCTGTGTTCAGCTGTTAAGTTGCTCTTGGAGGCTTCTGCTTTTATATCCCAGAAAACGTGGCTGTGGCTCAGGAGCGTTTTCTGTAGTGGCCTCATCAGGGGAGGTTTGTGGGGCCCTTAATTAATTAATTAATTAGATTTATATGGCCGCCCATCTCCAATATATAACTCTGGGCGGCTTACAACCTTAAGATTATTTTTTTTAAAAAAATTGTTCAATCGTGTCCGATTCTCGGAGACTGATGGACGAGTCCCTACAGTTTTCTTGGCAAGAAATGGTTTGCCATACGTCCTTCCTAGGGTTCTGAGAGAGTGACTGGCCCAAGGTCACCCAGTTGGCTTTGTGCCTAAGGTGGGACTAGAACTCAGGGTCTCCTGGTTTCTAGCCTGATACCTTCACCACTATCCCAAACTGGCTCTTTAAAATGATAAAAATGATAAATATTACTAAAATGATAAAAACATAAAAAAGCATAAAATCCATAGGAGCCAGGAAATTATAAAACAGCAATCAACATTCAACATTGGCAGGAAACGGACTCCATCCCACACCTGGGGCCCCAGGCTTGACCGCAGAGCCAAGTCTTCAGGGCCTTGCCAAAGGGCTTGGTGAGATCCCAACTTGGCAATATCTTCACTCCCCAGCAGAAATCACCTTGCTGGGGTTTTAACTGGCCACATCCTCCCTTTGAAACGGCCACATCCTGCCCCACCACCAGCATCCTCCTTGTTCATTCTCCGTTGCGGGGGAACCTGCCGCCCTTGCGCAAGTTCAGTACTAACAGAAGGGAATATATGTAGCTCAGGGTTGAAGGAGAAGTACAGAAGTTCAGTACTTCTGGAGCACCTTCTTATTGTGTAAAAGCAGCTTGATTGGTGTTGTTTCTCCAGGCTTCCGGAGGTGGGGCTCTGCACGTGTGGAAACCTCCTTGTTTTCCCCTTTGGCCTCCAGTTCTGCCCATAAAAGGCCACCGCGCTGCAGTTAGGAGAAGTGTGGCTTTTAGGCATGTAGGATCCTCGTGGTTCAGAGGCAGGATCTCTGTGTTTTAAAATGTGCGTGGTTCACCTTTCAGGCTGCTCCTTTTCAACCCAACGTCCTCCAAGTGTGTTGAACGAATTCAACACATAGTTTTCAGCCAATGCATGCTCAACAATTCCTTCAAACCATAGTCAAGGGGAGATTTAATTTGAAAACATGCCTTCTGAGAAATCAGAAACATTTCAGTATTGTGCATCCCTGGAAATTAATTCTCAGTTGTAACAGAAGCTGATTCTGGTAGCAAAACGAATCCAAATGGGTTGATGGAATTGTGTTAAGTGATGGAGTTTTGCTAAGAAACGAGTGGATGATTGCAGGATGGTTTTAATGGGATTTGTGGGGGGGTTGTTCATTTGACCTTGATCGTTAAGTAGAACCTCCACAAATAGAGGCAGTCTGCCTTTGAATTCCAGTTGCTGAGAGGCAAGAAAGAGGGCTGATGCATTTCCATATGCTGCTGCTTAAGGCTTGCCCTGGTTGAGAAACAGGATGCTCTCTAGACATGCCCTTGGTCCCTGTTACGGTTGGAATTTGCAAGAATAAAAACAGAGACTCGCATTTTGTGTGTTTCTAGGCCAAAGTTTTGGAGAAACTTAACCAACCCATTGTTTGGAACTCTTCCTCCGCCCTCTGAAACGTCTGAGGTAAGGAATCCCCCGGGAAAATGAAGCTCACTTTCTTTTGTGCAGGTCAATAGGGTTGCAACGTTCAATTGCAGAAAAGGTGAGCAGAAGCTTCTAAAATAGACATCCAGTCATGAATTGGGTAGAGCCATAGACAGGTTTTATGGCTAAAAAAGGCATTCTTGGTTAGATAAGCAACCTTTTACAAAATCTAATTCAGTATTTCCCAACCTTGGCAACTTTAAGACATGTGGACTTCAACCCCCAGAATTCCCCAGCCAGCCATGCT